TGTTTAAAACAGCAGACTTGGATGTAATTTCACAGGCAACCTCTTTTACAATACACGTGGTCATTTGTGCCTTTGTAAATAACAACTAATGTTGGAGTAATTAGTATGGAACTGTGGTCAAGCAGTGTTTAGGCTAGCTTAGCATTAAAAATGGAAATTTTACTGTCTGTTTTTGCACTTCTTCTCTCCTTCTGCACTGCCCTGTTCTTGCAGAATTCTCTCACTATCATAACTCATTCTAGTTGTTGCTGCACGTCTTCCTCTTCTTCTTCTTCTTCTCCTCCTCCTGCTCCTGCTGGTGATAAGGAAGGGGGGTGTTTCTTGATTAGAACACACACTGCCAAGGCCCCCACATCGCATCATTGCATTTGATTAGCTCCAACCCCCTGCTCCCTCCCTTATCACTACCGGCACAACAGGAAGCACTGCACAGACACACACACACACACACACACACACACACACACACACACACACACACACACACACACACACACACACACACACACACACACACACACACTCATGCATGCATGCACAGATACACACGTATACATATCACAAAACTCACTTTCAGACTTATCTGAACTCCATGACTGCCTCTCAACATGCACAGGCATATATGTGCACACACAGTCTCCACTCACACACTCATCTGGGCTGATGTTCCCGTGCCGGTTGCCGTGGCGGCAGGGCATCAGGTAAAGCCAGCATGGTGCTGACAGCTCCCCGTCCCTAATGAAGTATTAATAAACTGCAGCACAAAACAGTGGATCAGAGAGCAGCAGAGCTCCCCACCTGCCTGCTCGGCTGTCTGCTGGCTGCCAGGGGGGAGAGACGAGAGGGGAGAGAGGATCACTGTAATCCTCATCTTCCAAAACCCCTCTGCCCCACTTTTCAGGGACTCATCATCCTCCCCAAATCACCAGCTCTTCAGTATCATGCTCAAGGTTCTTTATTTTTTTAAGTTTTCACAAGTCTGATGTCAAGCTAATACTCGATGAAAAGACCTCGCATAATTTAAATCCCATAACCGCTTACACTCCAGCAGCTCTACATTAGTATAGAGTGCTAATGTTATTCTCTCAGCAGATATAAACTGTATGCTAGTATGCAGATGAATGAATTTATATTAAAGAGCTATACATTAGAAGCTTCCACATCAAGGAAAGAAAACCGAGAAATTCTGGGTTCCGAGTTGTGGAAAATTGGGGCGCCGGATAGCCTAGCATGCGCAACACATGTACAGAGTTTACAGTCCTGGTCGCAGCTTCCATGGGTTCGAATCCGGCCTCGTCCCTTTGCTGCATGTCATCCCCAACACTCTCCTCCCAACGTTTACTGTCTTCTTCAACTTTAAGAGTTGTCCAAAATTACAAGTCACTAAATCTTTGCGATAAATGGAGAATTCGACGACTGAAATTTTAATGAGATTTAATAAAGAATTGGAAACATGAATCTAGTATTCCTTGTCACCTATTGTGGTTATGGAAGGTCTTTTCAATTTGAATGTGATGGGAAAGAATGGAAAAGAAGACCTCTGTAGAGGTGCTGCTTGTCCACAGGCAGGGCTGGCAACTGCTTGGGGCCCCAGACCAGTAGGGGACGCCAGAGGGCTAACAAAATTTAAAATAAAGAAGCAACCCATAATTTGCTAATTTTTGTTATGACAGTAGGAAACCTCCCTAAGGAGGCCCATTTTGCATTCACTCTCTTTGGCTGGTTGGAGGACCCCCCCAACAGATTTTTGCCTTTGGCCCCAGCGGACGTTAGAATCGCCACTGCTTCTGTATGTTTCTTTTTGCAAAACTAGTTAAGTTCATAAAAAGTTTTCTTCTCTCTTTGATGTTCTTTTCCTTGTTATTTGAAAAAGCCTTCAAGATCTGCAAAATCACCAGGAAGTACGATTGTTTTGAAAATCCTTTTTCACTTTTTCCCTTTTTCACTAACTTTGAGGAAATGATGTTGTTGAGTTTAGACTGCATGAATCTTTGTTTATGTCCAACTTTCCAAGTAACAACACACTGCCCTGCACACACCTTTAAAGTAGGCATTACTTGTCAGTTGCCTACATTTGCAGCCGGTATCTTGAATTATAAACGGCTCTAAGTTTTGTCCTCAAATTGAACCCAGATTCACTCTGCCGTACAGCGAAAACCAGCTAAGATTTTCTTTTGTTACTCGTGAAGGGTGAAAGTGTGTGTCAGGAATCGCCACAGCACATGAATTCACAATTAGGCTCGCAAGTAGTCAAGTCACAGTAGAACGTCCCTGACGGGCAGACAATGCCCGCTCTCCGATTCAAATGAAGCAAACCTGCTGAGTGTAGATTTTCCAGGAGGTTTGTTCATTCAAACGCTGCAGCTCTGTGATTACAAGAACTGAGCAGTGGTTCAGTGGAAAGATCTAATCAGACCCAGGACCATGGGTTAACCAGAAAAGCTAGATTTAAAAAAATCAATGTTTCTCTTTCTTCTTTTAAAGTTTGATTTGAACGTACATGTGAATATGTTCAGGCATATTGTTTTTAATTGGGCCTCAGAAAGCCTTCTGCTCTTTGAGTTGTCCTCGTTTTTCTTCATCACAAACTACAGATGTCATCTCTCTGTGTCTGTGCTGGAATGTTGCTGCTTCTGTGTGACTTTGTGTCTTTATCTCTTTGTCTATCTGTATCCTTATCTTCTTTTTTTCTCATTATCCTCACCGTCTAAACCTCCCTGAGCTTTACTCCAGTGAGAGGGAGACGGATCTAATTGGCAGCGAGGATCGTTTTAATTTGGCAAAGCCAGCTCGGTTGATTTGTTCGGCTTTTTTTTGCCACCTTTCACGAGATAATAATGAGAAAATATACACCAGAACTCCCTCAAGTTTGCTGTGCTGAGCGTGCTGTGTTTTTTTTCCTTCATTCCCCCCTCCCCACCCCCTTTTTTTTTTTCACATGGGCTTGTTACACCGATCACATTCGCCCAGGCAATTTGCCTGCTTGTCTGAGTCTGAGAAGGGAGTCTTATCTGCACTAACGCCCCATCCAGGCTGCGCCTCATATCCAAATGGGCCCGTGTTAGCATTCAAATCAAGAGCCCCCACCTTCCCCCTTACTATTCTACCTAGCACTTGTGCCCCTTTCTGTCGCCCCCACCCCTTTTCGCCTGTCAACACGCCAGCTCTGCTCGGAGGAAAAGAAACCAGGGGGAAAAAAGAGGGAGAAAGCCAGGGCTATTATTTAATGAGATCAAGAAGTGCAGGGGTGTGTTTACTGTCACAAAGCAAACAGAGGCAGCAGCTCTGCAGGTGAGGAGAAATCGCTGGGCTTCTCCTCATCTTCCTCTTCTTCCTGTGTAGCCGCCGCCGCCTCCACCTAAACAACCACCATTTTACAGAAACAACAAGCGCTCTGACAAGGTGCTTCTTCTTCTTGTCAGGAAACAACAGCAGGTGCATCAAAAGCAGTACAGTCTGAAGGTTATTTCTGCTACAGTAGTACTGCACGCTACATAACAAGAGGTACACCAAACTATTTCATTAGTGCAGATTGTGGAGCGAGTGGAGATGGTTTGTAATTGCATCTGCTGTGATTTAACTCGACCTTTTACCTGCTCTGGCAGATACAACAAGGTCATTACTGCAGAGCCGTTTGCCACAGGTCATCAGCGGCTCATTGTTCATTATGATTAAACTGAAATTATGGGCCAAGTGTCACAGTTGTTATCATCTGCACATTTGCTGCCATGTGATGGCTCACGGATGATTTCTGATTTCTGCGGGTAGTCTTCCATAACAAGAGCTTTGATTAAGTGCTTTATTTTGAAGGCACTTCTTGAGATGTGTTCCTCGTAAATTGGGTCTGGTGTCAGTTTCAAAGTTGCTGCTGCAATAGAGCACAAATATAGAATGGGAAAAAAAAGTGTTCGTTAACTAGTCTAAAGCACAGAACCTCAAAAGGACTTGACAGGAGAGAGCGGGAAGAGGAAGAGGGGAGAAAAAAAATGTGTCATGAACGGGATATCCTTTGATCAAGAGCGCTCCTCACAGCACTCATGTCTCCTTACACATCCATAATATATATATATATCTGCTCACATCCCAGACTCTTATCAACAAGGCATCCTGATGGAGGGAATCACATTTTTGATAAAGAGAAACCTCAAGCACTCCTGTGTTGTCTTTGCTTTAAAATGATGGGCAAAAGAATGAAAATAAACAAAGCTAAGAATTTTAAATTCAATGTATGCACGCCATCTTTCAATTAAATTCATTCATGTTGGCTGTGACAAAGCGGGGATAATATCAGAGATGGATAAACATTTTTTTTTCTAATAGTGGAAGGCTTAGGAAATGAGAGGGCTGCTGATGCTCGGCTCCTCTCTCAAGGGAGATCATGTTTGTCCATGGCAGTCATAAATATGCATCATGCAGAGAGATGACAGCGATGTCATCTAATGGATGCCTTTTGTAGAGCGTGTGAAACCCAAGAAAAAGCCCCCACCATGGCCCAATACAGAATTAAAAAGTTGCGCCCTCAGTCACTCAGCGACAAGTGGCACGCTGTTTAATTAGGGTTGAAAGTCCTCCTCCCGTCCCCCTCTCATACTCTCTTAAGAGGATAGGTAAATATTCAGAGGGTCGCTCCACAACCGTGGCGATTAAAGCATCCTCAAGCATTGAAAAAAAGAGAATGTGCTGTGAATGCAAAGTTTGTAAATCAATTTGTGCTGGCCTGCAAAATGAAATGCAACTTGCTTGTTTGAGTAGACAGCTGTGGCAGTGTGTCCTTTCCCCGGGGGTGTCAAGTAGTTCTTCAAACCCAGAATAACTGAGTTTCCCAAAGTGCCCCAGCAGCCACTTAAATAAGGTTGCCTCTCATGCATGATGCACTCCAGTGGACAGTAGCAGTGAGTTTCCTGGAGAGCAGCTGGTGGACAGGTGTACCTGCTGCACTGGAAGAACTCCGGTGCTTCTGTGACTAAATCTTGTATTCTTGTGTGTGTTCCTTCCTGCAGCTCTGAAGGACCCCTGCGCCGACGTGGCCTGCAGTTACGGCAGCACCTGTGTCCAGTCCTCAGACGGCCTGTCGGCTAAATGCATGTGTCCCCTCGGCTGTGAGGGCAAACCAAAGCAGACGGTGTGCGGCAGTGACGGGAAGGACTACCCCAACGAGTGTGAGCTTCATCAGCACGCCTGCAAGAACCAGAAGAACATCCGAGTGCAATATCCGGGCCCATGCGGTGAGTTTTTTTTTTGGGGGGGGGGTAATTTTAAATGTATTTCTTGGACAGGCTTTTACAGCTTGAAACAACAGGCTCCAAGTCCTATGCTGATCCTTCTATGTTAATACACTATATATTAATCCTCATCAACAAAGGTGTTCATATTTTTCTTGTAATCCCAAAAGTTAAGAACATTAGGCATTTTATAGTTTACTATTATATGTTCCAAAAAAGGCCTTAAAAGATTTCAGTGATGCAGGGGGGGGGGGGGTGCAGGTTCAGTCAATACCATCCTTAGCTTTTAAGTGAACCACATCCGGTCTACCGTTTAAAAAATGTCTTCCGTTAGAAATACCTGGAACAACAAATTGTAACCTTTTTCTTAATAAATGAAACTAATGACTAGTTAAAAACTTAGATTTTGCTCACCCTTTGTGTTCTCCATTCCCATTCTTTCATAACTTTTCTCCCCCTCACTCTAATTACTACCTCTGGCTCTTGTTTGTTACCCCCCTCACTTACGGCATGCCTATGCTAATTCTCATTTTTCATTCAGGTTACTTTGCTTCACGCAGCTTCTCCTGTGGTGCGAATTGTTTTTTTCTCTAAGTAGGTCTTCAGAGCTGTCGTTTCTCTCGTCAGTCCCTGTTTTTCTTTTTTTTTTTGCTCATACTTGTTATCGTCAGGCAATGGCTGTTTACTCCCAAGGCGCTCAACTTTGAGGTTTTGTATTTTTTTATTTTTTTGCGAGCCAGATGGAAGGAAAGAACAGCAGACATAAAAAAAAAATCGTTCTCTAAGCAGCGGGAGCCTCCAGGAGACAGAGTGGGGTGGTGGGCAATGAAAGATGGATGTGCAGGTTGCCAGCAGAAGGTTGGTCGTATAAATCCAGCTACGAGCCGGCCAAAGTGACCTGAGTTTCTCCTTGGGGAGGGGCAGATACCCGGGGGGGGGGGGAAGTCGGCCCTGATGGTCCTCTAAATCTTCCTGCAGCCATTTCATCTAAGCCTTGGCTATTTCAAGTCGCTAACCCTAGCCAGACAGATGCAGGTGATTTATCCGCGCTGCTTGTTTTTGCAGCAAACAGGCCATTCTTTTTGTAATTACCCCACTTTCTCAGCTGGAGGAGAGCATGTATCCTGGAAGCTGTTCTTCTTAGTTAATGGGAGGTAATGGTCTTTCTCTCAGATAATGGTGTGGCTGGCGAGCAAGGCACTGCATGCATAACGATAAAACCCCTGTTTGTTTGCTTGGTTGCTGGTATCTGAAAAGCCTTTGCATTGTGCTGATAGAAACAACCCGATGCCTGGCTGGAGCTGGCTGTGGTCACTCCGCCTCCGACGCCCTCTGCCGCCAAAGCCCTCTGTACCTTTTTTTTTTTTTTATGTCCCTGCATTGTTGCTCTGTATCCATGCCAGAGGTCTTTGGAAACCATTTCTCCTTACTCCCAATTTCTCATTCTCTTCCTCCTCCTCTTTCCTGATGATAGGCTGTTTCATCCTTGGTGTGTTTTGAATGAGTCGCCGGCAGCCTGGCAGTGATTTGATATGTCACGGCACGGTGCAACATAAATCCTTTGTCTTCCCACACGCTGAAAGTGTGGCAAGCAGGATAAAACCAAGGCTCCTTTTTCAAGGAGTAACAAACCCCCCCCCCCCCACCCTTATTCTCACACATCCACAAACCAATTTCATTATGATCACGGACTGATACGGCCGAGCGTGCCAGACCGACGCTCCCTGAGAAGGAGGGAGGTGCCAGGGAGCAAATCAAACCGACTGACTCTTCATCCATTTCCTTGTCTCCGCTTCACATCCAAGGTCCCACTCCGAGCCGCTGATAGTATCTGCAGAGGAGCAGTGATGGAGAATCATGTCTCCCCTTCCTCTCTTTCTTTTCGTAGTTTTGTACTTCCTTTCTCCTCTTTTTGAACATACCAGACTAATATTGTATAACAAGGAAAAGTAAATTCATTCAGCTAGTAGGGTATTTTTTGGCCTGAAAAACAAAAACACATGTATAGTATTTCCTGAAGTTTAAACCAGGCTTCCTAAATCCAAAACAGAAACTTTTCCTTAGGAATGAATCGGCCGTTTTGATGCCATAAAGCAAGCCACATCATATCCTGCTATTTATTTCCGCATTTGTTCTTTGGCCAAGATTTGATGTTCAATTTTGCTCAGAGAGCCAAAGATGGACAGGGATGTGTTGATTAGAGCGTTTTTTTTTTTAATCCTCCAGGGTCTAATTAACAAATTGTACTTCACACTTTGCAATACTGAAAGACATATTAACAAATGTCATTTTTTTTACCCCCCACAGACCCGTGTAAAGACAGTGAAAACAGTGTGAACACCATGTGCCGGGTGGAGGCTCTCACCCGCCAGCCCCTCATGTTTGGCCTGCCGGAGTCGTGCCCCCCAGCTAATGAGCCTCTGTGTGCCAGCGATGGACGGACCTACTCCAGCGAGTGCGCCATGACATCTTCGGGCATGCAGAAAGGCGTGAAACTAAGGAAGATCTATGCAGGACGATGCGGGAGGCTGGGTAAGTTCTGTTGGGACTGGAAACTGGAAACTGAAAACGAATGAATAAATTAACTGCAGGGAGATTGCAGTGCAAATGAGTCAGCTGGGAACACCCTAAATGCCGTATTACACAACAACTACAAACAGAAAAATCCTAATTTGCCAAAAAGCAGTGGACATTTTTCTTCTGCCTGTATTAAAAAAATCCATTTGCCATAAAGCAAAACAACATGGACAAAAAGTACAGCAGAGGGGAAAAAGCACATGCATTCCTGTGGGCCGATATAAGATATATATATAGATACTCATGCTTCAATGCAGACCTTTTATTTTTTAATCTCTAGGAGTTTTTTGTTAAAAGTCATTCCTCCATTTTTTTCATCTGAAACACAGAAATAATGTGACACAAGGAGGAGGACTGACCTGTGGCTCCTTTCCTGCATGTCGTTCCCCACTCAGTCTCTCTCTCTCTCTCTCCCTGATTTCTGACTCTTAACAAAAATGAATATATATATTTTGAAACAGGAACAAAAGAATCTCCCATACTGTAAGTTTGACAAGTTATCATAGAGGTCACGCTGTCGTCTCCTTGAGATGAGATGAGTGTGTGTGTGTGTGTGTGTGTGTGTGTGTGTGTGTGTGTGTGTGTGTGTGTGTGTGTGTGTGTGTGTGTGTGTGTGTGTGTGTGAGCTTGCATTTAAACCGAACTGTATCTTTGTTCTCCCACATGGCACAGAGATAAATGACTCTGAGGTCTCAGGGTCTGCACTGTATCCATGTTAGTAGTATCCTCCAGCAGCCTGATAAGAGCCTGCGGGGTTGTTATCAGTGCTATTAGAGCAGGGCTTTAAGCCTAAGTCAACAAAGAGCTGTCAGCTTTTACTGTACATCTGATAGCCATCGGAGGAAATCCAATTTTCCCACTGTGTTGTCAGCAGGGGTCTCGCAGCCACAACCACAGATGTGTTAGTTTACGGGAGTGATGTGCAAGAGACCCCCACCCATTTACCGAGACCCCTGACAACGACAGCGACAAGAATAGATCACTGCAGGACGCCCTATCACACGGCTGATACGGGCTTCTTTGACACACCAGTTCTCCTGTTTGCTCTTTTTTTTTTTAAAGATCGACAGTCCGCTGTGTGCAAACTTATGTGTGAGTGAGTGGCTGCTCTTTTTTCTTTTCTTTTTTCCCATTTTATTCTTTGCCTTTTTTTTCAAATGAAAGAATGATTCAATTTGAAACAGAGATCCATGAAATCATATCCCAAAGCAATTTACAAATTGGTATCTAATGGTAATGGCCATTTCGACTTGTAACCATGACATTGCACATCCGCGGAGTCCTCTCACTCAGATGCGACCACGACGACGTAATTAAGTGTGGCATGACAGGCTTTTAAAGAAAAGAAAAGGAGGAATTGAATTGCTGTACAAATTCGATCCACTGATCAGGAATTAAATAAATTCGAAGCCTGCTGAGCGGCTTCAGAACACGGTTCTGCTGCAAATTGGATTTTCTCACTTCAGTGGCAAATTTTCCATTTCATATTACTCGAGTTTCTCTCTTTTTCTTAATTTCCGCAGTAGATTTCTGCTTGGTGAGTCAAATTTTAATGAATATGATAGTTTTAGACTCTAACTCTCCACTTGCTGTATATTCAATTCTTGAGTTTGGCTTCAAACTTTAGTTATTTGAAAAACTCTTTATCATAGTTATATGAGAGCATGTCAAATCTACGGGGGGCAAAAGAAATGAATAAGAAAAGAAATGAGGGTGGGGGAAAACAGAGAAGAGGAGGAGACATATTGATTTTCAAGTTGATAATCAAACGTCAATTAAGAAAGTGTTAAGTGTCGGTTTTATGAAAAAAAAACATATTTTAGGGAAGATTTGTTTTCTGTATGTTGACTCCACTTGCAAAAGGCGATTAAAAACGGCAAACAATTACCCTTACTTCTTTAATTTTTCCACATGCTTGGCCCTAAATATGTTCCATCAGACCTGATTTCATGTATCAACAGAAGTCACAATGCTTTTGAGTCTGACCTTCTAGTATGTGTGTTTAAACAGGTTTAATTTTGATCTGGATATTACTACAGTCAAATTAATCAAAGTGTTTTCTAAAAATGTTCAAAACACTTTTATAGAACTGATAGTAACCTAACCCAAAACTCAAAGAACTGCTCCTGTTGTCAGAGCATTCATACACGAGTCCTATGTCATCCACTTCCACACAGAGAAACATCAAACCAAGTGATGATCCCTTGCACTTTGAGTGCCATAAAACACCAAATAAAACATATTACACAAGAAAACTGAGTGGGACACTCCGCTATTGAAAAAAATTCACCACTCAATACGAGGAGACATTGGTTACATCAAATGCAAACGTATTGTTACAAAGACATAGCGCTGTACAATATCTTGCTAAAGAGAAGTAAAACATGTGCAGGAGGTCGTTTGATTCATCAACCAAATACCACAAATTTACATGATTTGAAAAAACAAAAAACACTCAAGCAAGTAATAATAATAAATCATTTGAAAGGGTATCAATGCTCTTCTGTATGAGTTTGGTATCAGCCCACCCACAAAATGTTGTTCTTTCATTTCTTATTCCCACTCCTGCTAATTGATCGTAATTCAAACTATTTTTACTTTGTTGTAGTCGTGAACCAGACATTAGATTTCTCTAAGATTTATTTTTTTACTGTATTTATCCTCAATTAACAATGACATATATTCCTTTCCGGGTGTGTTATTAAAACCTTTCATTCTGTCAAATTATCGACCTCTGTCTTTGTTGAAAGAAAGGCTTTTTACATGCGCCACCACTGACACCAGTGCACCCTAACATGTAATTATTGTTTGGATGAAAACTGATTTATTTCCCCGTGGTTGGAGCAGCGGTGTCACATGCAGCAATAACAATCATTTCAACCCTTCGCTAGCTTGAAATGTTGTTTTTCACGCTTGCTGAGTACTTCTGTTGTCCTTTCCTCCGCGGTGATCAGTCTGTCACACAGCTACAAAATTGGCAGTTGGCGGAAAAAAAAAAAGCCTTATCAGTGTCTGTACAGATGGTGAAAAATTAAAGTTAAAAGGCTGAACAACTGATCGGAGAAACATAATAAATGCTTCCAAAATGGTTTCTTGGTAATCAGTAAAATATCAATAGATTGTAGACTAATTTCTTTTGAACTGTCTCCTTTTTCCAGAGGACTGTAAGGAGGAGTGTCTCTTTAACGCAGTGTGTCTGGTGGAGCAGCTGAACGCCCGCTGCTCCTGTGATCCTATCGCGTGTGATGACACCTACAGGCCCGTGTGCGGCAAGGATGGCCACACCTACATCAACGACTGTGTACGGCGCCAGGCGGAGTGTGTGAGCAGGACCCTGATCCCCATCAAGCACCAAGGGCCCTGTGGTGAGTAGCGCCAGAGGATGGGAAAGAGGGTATCAGCTTCTTTTGGGGCTTCAAGAGCACTAATTCATGGTGGCCACTTTCCTCTGAAGTCAGGGTGGAAAGCATCAATTGTCTTTTAATCTGCTGAGAAATTGAGGGAAGCGGTGGTGGTATATACACAAGTTTCAACCTGAATCACAAAATTACAACATGATGCTTTTGATAAAATTCTAACTTCTAAACCCAGTACATCACATGAAAGTGGCTGCCATAATGCTGTTTTCCTTTGTCTTTCTCTGCCTTTTTTTAAACACATAATTAATGTGTTTTCTTCTCCTCTGTATTTTAAATTCTAACTGTATAAATGTCTGAACTGAAAGATGTGTGAAACAGTTCAATGATGCTCTCTGAAGGGAGGTTTGTGTACCTCAAAATGACACAACTTTTCCTCCCTTAGAAAAAAAACGTGCCTTCACTTATCCACTCGTTCACCTTCCATCCATCGCTCCATCCCCAAACACTCCATGCCTCGATCTCCAACACCCTTAAATGAAACACCACTTTCATGTCTCATTTATCCGTTCTCTGTCTCCTTCACTTTGACCGCTCTTCCCCTCTGCTGCCTCTTGTTGTTATTTGTCTCCTCCTGTCTTTGTCTGTTTGTCTTTGTGTGTTTTCTTGTTTAAAAAAAAAGCTCTTCTTTCTTGTTTCAGTGCGTCAGTCAGTCTGTCTGTCTGTCTTTGTCCGTTTGGCCGTCTTCCTGGCGGCCTGGCTGCAGGTGGAAAGTGGGGTCACCCAGTGGGCGACCTCATCAGGCGAATCCTGAGGGGTGACGCCTGTCCCCTTGCTCCCAAAGGACCTAACAGGAGGGGTCTTGTACTGCTGTCTTTTTTTCCTCTCACTCCTTCTGTCTCTGTATACGTCTCTTTGTGCCATTAACCGTCTGTTTACCCTCCTGCAAAGATGTGATCCGTGAGGTTGGAGAAGTCTTCCTCTCTGCCTGCTCTCTAACTCCAACTCTAACTTCTTCTGTTCCCATCTGTCTAACCACTGCTCACCTTTTCTTTGCATGCAGGAGTGCATGTCAGCTGCTAACCTCACTGCTTAAAAACAAGCCCTCTGTCCATCATCAGGACTCTCTCATAAAACCTTGCAACCGCCCGATGAATGCACAAAGCTCAGATCTGATCATTTACTAGAATAAAAGCTGCACTAGGGTCAGAGTTCGACTGCATTTCGATGAATCCTTTGGACTCCTTTGTGTCCAATGCAATTATGCTTACCTTTCAGGTACTAAAAGAAGGAGGAATATAAATAACTCTAAGACTCTGGTGGTGAGGTCTTGAACCCCCTTTGTAGGCTGAGAAGGTAGAAAGAGAATTGGAGAGAGCCCTATTAGTGTGCACAACATATAAATAAGTCGATAAAAATGTACGTGACACACTTGAAAACAGCTACAGCTCCTTGTTCTGCAGGAGGCTCTACTTCACCGTCAGTGAGTTTATCGTTTCAAAACAGTGTTAGCTCCTTCTACGTCGAGATTCTGCTGCAGTGCCGTAAAGTGTGGTATTTATTGGATTTTGGCAAAGCATGCTAAGCACAACTTGTAAAAAAAAAAAAAACACCAGCATGATCTTCCAAGGCAAAGAGCGCCTCTCTACCACCTACCACCAATGCCAGCTCAGAGGAGAAACAACCCAGCATATGAAGTGTACATTGACGTGAGGCGTTACAGTCTCATCTTGAACAGGCAACGTAAAAGGAGCTCTAGATTTATAAAGTTTAATCTTAATTCTTAAAATTGACATAACCAAACCAGCAAAAAAAAAAATCCCCAATCTTTGGTTAATTACAGACACTAGCTTACAGAGTGGAAATTCACTACATAAGCATCAGGCTTCAGGATCAGTTCAGGTTGGGGGATGATTGTGTTTCACAGACAAACAATCATTCAATAACCTTAGCCACAGCTTTACTGACCCGATATAAACTGTACAAAGCAGTTCAGTTGTAATGACTACATAATTGTCCAGAGATTAACCGTCACCTATTGTCGTTGCCATGCACAGATTTTAGAAAAATCTATTTTTTTTATAACCCAAGCCTTGGTTGATAAAATGAAAAGAACTCATGGCCCTGGTAGCCTAGTGGTAAGCGCATGCGCCCCATGTACAGAGGCTATAGTCCAACAAGTGGGCAGCCACGGGTTCGAACCCGACCTGTGGCGTCTGCCCCACCTGTCATCCCCCACCCTCTCTCTCTCCCCGATTTCTGACTCTGGCCACTTTCGAAAAATAAACCTGGTGAAACAAAGATGCATTTTACCTTATAGGAACCTTTAGAAGAATAAAGGGAGACATTAAAGCAGCAATTTGACAGAAATCATAAAAAAAAAAAAAAACAGGTGTCAGATTTTCATGAGTTTTTGTTAAATTACCAGTACTTCTGATCCAGACCCAAAGTTAAACCCCAGATTATCCAAATTACTCACTTACTAATTAATTCATCTTTTTTTTTAATGCATCTCAAGTTGACTCATTACTTTGAAATGGGATTTATTTTCCTGTCATCAGTCCAAATTCTAACGGATGAACCTCTAGACTCATAAAAACTCTTAAAAATAACGCTGTTTTATTCACCCTCACCCTGCATACAACAAACTACTAGTTCATATCTTGTATATCTCAATGCTCAACATGCACTTTAGAACTTATTTCTCCAAGACCCTCTGTAGTAACTCTCAGCAGTGATTGAAGGTTACTGTTCTCCAGAATAAGAGATTACTTCAGCTCTTTCCTCAACTTAGTTTACCACATATGAAGTGTAAACTTGTCCAGAATTTCTGTCCAATTTGTCATTGTTGTTAAGACCAGAGCGATCCGTCCATCCTCCAGGCGTTTAGTTGGAGCTGGAAAGCAAAGTTATCTCCAGTTGTCAGCATCAGGAGGCTCAGCAGCGCTCATTAGCATTATTCGGCCGTCTGCGCTGTGCATAAATTAAGACATGGAAATGGCAGTGCGAGCACTTATGTGTTTTGCTCCTTTTCATTATTTCTGGCAAATGGTGTCTCAGTCCTACAGCCTTCCCTTATTTGTTTTACTTTCTTTCTTTCCTTCTTCATCCTTCCTTCCTCTCCCTGCGCATCACAGCTGTGAGCGACTGCTAGTATGTTTCTTTAATGCAGTTTTATTGACATTTGCATATTTTTCAAAAACAGAGCGCCACAAACGCATCCCCCCCTCCCACGATTCAGTTTTAATTAAACATCAAAAGAGGCGAAGGTGCCCACAGAGACTGTTGGTTTAGTCAGACAGATGATATGCATGCAAGGAGTGAGTGTGTGTTTGTTTGTGTGTCCATGCAAATCTTGGAGCTTTCTAAATTGTATTGTTTTCCTATTTATTTTTTATTATTTTGTCTTCCTTTCCAACTTCTTTCCTTACTTGACTGCCCCTTATGTCTTTCTTTCTTATTTCCTACCTTCCTTCCTTCCTTCCTAGGGCTGAACAATGTTGAAGAATATTGACATTGAGTTATTTTTCCTTTCTGCTATTTATTTTGATTTTTTTACTATATGTCATCAATCATTTTCTAAACATGTCAGAAGTTATGTTTAGCCTACATGGCCAGTCCCATGATTTTAACTTCTAAATAAAGGAAAGCTCATTGTCTTGAGCTGCTGTGACTCACACAGCACTTCACTGTGTCCGCTGCGCAGTAGCAGCTATAGGTAGAGTATCAGCGGCACATCCGCTCCATTAACTGGCCGTATACAGTATGTGGCCACAGCATTAAAGAGCACCGGGAATACACTCTTTTCTAATCTGTAACTGAGCGTCTGCCTCAGGAGTTATGTCAGGTATCTGTGACGGCAAAACAGCGTCACCTGTAGCCTTTGAACATGTACATGCAGAGGACACAGACTCTGCATGCACATCGGTCAGTTCTCTGAACACTGATTGTTATATCAGACAGACTTAAGTCGTAGTGGAAACGAGAAAATTGGTCGTTTGGTTTTACTAACATAAAAATGTCAGCATGATGTGCTTGACTGACTATGCACATCCTGCCATGGGACTATTGCACATGTGCACCGCTGTGATGGTAAACACTGCATTATTCAGCCCTACCTCCGGCTCCTGCCTTGTCTGTCTTTCTTCCTCTTTCACCTCCTTCACTCTCTGTCTCTTGTGTCCTGTCGATGTTTTTGTGTGTTAGTAAGTCTAAGTAGAGATTCGTCCCATCAATTGCTCTGCCCTAACGACCTGACATACTCACAACCCTGACAGACACCCATGGGATGTATGCAGTGTTAAGAGTGTTAGATTTGTTGGAAATGGATCAATAGCCCACCCTGATCTCACAGCGGGAACAATCAAGACACACACTGTATACAGTGTGAGACTAACACTCCCACTGTGCTTTGTTGTACTGTGCTCTCACAGTGACTGGCAGCGCCAAAAGATGTCTGCACAATGACCTCTGTGTCATCCTGGCACACATCATAGACTGTATACAGTCACACACACACAGAGCAGCTTCAGAAAAGAAGTTTCAGACACCTAAAAAAGCTGAGTTTGATCTATTAAATTATCATTATTTGATAAATAATGATCTCGATGCTGGTTTCTGAGTGGCTGAGTGGTGCGCGGGGCGGAGTGATCGATCGCCCTGCCAGCTGTCAAACGGACGAAATTCTTCACTTCTGACACCGTCATAAATCTCCTTTCATGAGGGTGACAGCGCCTGTAATGTCACCCCCTCCCCTGCTGGTGTTTGCCTTTCACAAAGAATGGACATGCAAAAAAACTCTCATGTCTGTAATGTCCTGAGTGCTGTCCTCCCCACAAAAGCGTTTGATTGATATCTACGGCTCTCTAATTTAGAGGATGCAGACACTGTGTGGCATTTAGCTGATTAAGTTAACGTCCAGACACGGTCACAAATCTCAGAGATGTCCGAGAACACGTGAGCCCTGCGAGGGCTTTGTGGGAAGTGAATCAGAGGAGGCTGCTGGGAAG